ACTGATTGTTGGACAGCAGCTCCCATCAGCTTCAACTAGTATGGCTAATGCGAGTCCAACATAGGATGATGGGAGTCCAACATATGGAGAATGATGCCATTTTGGCTACTGCTGCTATAGGTAGTCTACTTTTTTCCTTTCTTTTTTGGGCAAAAGCAAATAATATTATTCCAACTAAATTCTACTTGGAGTAGACCTATTGAAATCAATGGGCATGAGGAACTTGTTCCGTTGTGAGTCAAAATTAGTTGGATACAACCCAGTGGCTCAGAATGGCCTCCTTCAAATTTAGCTAGCTATTCCATTTGTAACCCATACTTTCTTCAGGGAGCTCAGCAGTGGTGCTTCCCAACACTTGGCTGAGCCCAGATGTTCTTTGCTTCAGAGGTGGAATTCTAGTAGGACTGCATTCCTAAACAAACTGGTCACACTGGGACTTACTTATGGGTAGAGATAGACAAATCTGTCAATGTTGCTTCTGCAACTTCCTCATTTCTCCAAACCTTAAATTCACTTCTCTGCATTTCCTCAACAATTTGTGCATGTTTGTTTAAGAAAAGATCCTTATGAAAATTTCTTAGCCGTTTAGTGAGAAATTTTCCTAATAAACACATATTATTTTTCTTTGGCCTGTGGTTTTAACTAATGTACACATTTCTGCAAGCAATTTCCCCTAATATAAGGTATTTAGTATGTTATATTCATGAATATATGCATTTTTGGTACATATTGTTTGGTTGTTGAACTGAATCACAAAATTCAGGAAAATGCAAATTTTGAAGGATAGCTGTTTCGATTTGTGTCTTGGTTCAAAAAGCACAACTCATTAAAATGCAACAGTTTTTCCCTCCGTCTCTACTCACTGAACATGCATGAGATCACACTGCTGCATGTGTCTTCTTTAGCGTGGCCCAAATGAGTATTTATTGTTACCAGCTCAAAATGGGACTTCCTTTGCGGCTTGTATTGTGAAAGCAGAAGACATATACAGAAGATAGTTAAGCCTATCCAGAAGCTCCTTGAGTGCCTAGGATCTCAAGGTGGACATGAAATAGCCATTCTCTGCCATGGACATGCTCATTGCTCTTTCGGACTGCCCTGACCTCCTAGGATAGGTGATAACTCTGTGTACAAATTAGGATCTCCATCTTCATCCAAGATGCTCATGAAGATTTACACTAATCTAGTGAACATAGTAACCCAGTAAAGACCTCATTTCAGAATGTAAATAGCTATTTAATATTTGCTAGCTGGGTGTTTTGGTTTCATATATTTTCTGAACTTTGCTCCCAAACTTATAATAAGCTTGGCCGGTACATATTTTTAGTTTCTGGGCTGGTAGATTCATGGATAACATTTCCACAAAGCTTATGAGTTATGTAGGCGTTCTGCTTGATGTTAAGGAGAGATAAGTGTACTTTTGACACCCCCAAATTTGTCTTTAGCTGCCGTGTTAGCCCTTTAATCAGAATGATTTTTGACCATCATGGTCAAGGTTGATTTGAAGAAATGCCCTGGAGAGGAAAGGTTAGCAATTTGTCCGCCCCATAATGGATTAATCGCTAGCTGTACAGTGTGTTTATCTTAAGAAGACAATTTGCCACACATGAAGAGTAGTAATTTTATTTTATACTAGGGGTGTCCCCGGTGTATCTTAGTCATTTCCTTTGCCATGTATTTTCCAGGTTATAGATAAAGTCTAAATTCAGCTGTCAGCTTGGGGAAGTGGCTGAGGATGGAGGCGGTTTATTAACTGCTTATCTTGCCTGTAGGTGACACTGTTCCATCATTTATCAAACCATTTTCCAATATCTTGTCCAGGGACATATATGTTTGTGTGTATATATATATATGTGTGTGTGTGTGTATGCAAGACACGAATAAATACCTTCAGTTTCTGGTCCTTGTTAGAGAATGGGTAAGTGGTTGGATGGTGTTCCAGATTGCCTTTTTATAAAATTGGTTCTGTTCATCAACTCTGCAGCATCAGTATTTTTCCTTGTTTTTCTCCTTTGATGAATTAGATGTTAACATAATCGCACTTCAGCATTTCTTAAGGCAACTGTTATAGAGCAGAATTTTTTTGGGGGGGGGGGACATGCACTTAGCATATCTTAATTCACAGCCAGGTTGGGTTGTTACATTAAGAGAAGTTAAAATATTCCTATATGTTCAAACTGTGCCAAATGGGGTGTTCCATTAAAAACAGATCCATCCTTACCCATTGTTGTGCTCCTTAAACTTTGCCTTAAGTTGTTCCTCTGTTCAGATGAAGTCCCCAGTCCACCTGCAATCTTCTCACCATACCCACCACCATATCATTCCCAAAGGCACTGCAGTCTCACCTGGTACTTTCTGCAAGGGGATAGCAAACCCTACTCCATTCATGAAAGGAAAGTTAGGATCCATGCCTTTGTTCCCATGACAAAGTAATTCCCCTCCCACACCCCCACACACTCTGGTTCCTAGCAACCAGTGTTCCTAATGAGCCAGTGTTGGATGAGGACCAAGGAGAGGCAGCTTCAAATCTTGACTCAGCCATGAAGTTCAATGGGAGAGCATGGATCATTCACTGTTTCTCAGCTTAACCCAATTTGCAGGGTTGTAGTGAAGATATAAGGGATGAGTACATAACAATGAACATATGCATGGGGTCCTTGGTGTGAGGAATCTGGCTCTTCAGGAGGCATAAGTTTTACTGCCTTTGGAGGTCCCAATTTGGGATTGAAGAGGCATCTGACCATCAGGATCTGGCTCAGGCGATGTTGTGCCATGGGTTGGTATCTAGTACCTCTGCCTCCAGGGCAGCTTTGCCAACTAATCTGGCTGCCCCCACTTGCCTGGATCAGAATTGAGTCTGAGATGCTGCTCAAGATGGAGGCCAACAGTTCCAATAGGGCAAATACAGCACTGGCTCACCATCCACAGTCTGCGCTCAGCTATACCCACTGGCTGGCCTCCTTACTTACTCCTTTCTCCTGACCAGTCAGGGGTGGCTTTGTTTTGCCTCTTGCTCCAACCTACTTTTGGCCTCCTTGCCATCCACTCTACCAGTTCCAATAGGCATACGTTTTTTGGGTGGGGGTGTTTACCTAGCAGGGAGGAAAACTTTTGAGGAGAACTGTTAGCAGATTAAGGTCACCATCTACTGACACAATGAAATATCTGGTGAGGTTCCCCCATTCATCAGTGGTGTCCTTGGCGCCAGATGTTTAGATGCTGCCATGTTCCATGCATATGTCTCTTCCTGTCAGGAAGTCATAATGCAAATCCACCAGCCCAGGTGCAACAGTGGACTTGCCAAGTATCTCTGCCTCTTTTGCCTTTTCCTCCTACCCGGGACACACATCTACTCCCCATCAGAGATGTGTAGATTGGAAGGAGAGTGCAATTAACCCCTGGAAAGCGTTGGTTTTGCCCAAGCGACGTGCACAGTAATGATATTGTTAGCTTCCCCTTAATTTCCAGTTTCACTATCAATTATGCCATGTGTTTCACCCAGTTGGTGCTACCCTCCCAGTGTTAATTATAACCTACAAGACTGTTACAGTTAATTTTATGGCAAGCATATTGTCTCTTCAAGGCTCTGGAGCGGCTCATAAATTATCTTGAAGGTAAAATGCAACTTGGGGAACTAGTTATGAAAATTCCATCCATCTCGCTTAAGAGATGCAGCTGCTACTGTCAGCTGCTTTGCTGCTGCATTGTGAAGGAATTATGGCGGGTCAGGTTTAAGAGGCAAGGCCCGGGCTGTCACCGAGGAGGAAGCCTGTCCTGGCCCTGTCAGACAAGTACCTTCTGCCAATCCCTCGTGGTTTTGCTTTTCAAGCAGTAAAAGGCAGGCTGGTGCAGGTGGATGGTCCCCAAGCTGTCTCTATTCATTACTTTACAGAAACTTGTTTTAGGTAGGCAGGTACGGAGACCTCCCTCCTGCCTTCGCTGTTGTCATGATGGTTAGAGGCATCATCTGCAAAGTGCAGGAAGAGAAAAGGAGGGAGAGGGAGAGGCGAACTTGATACTGTCTGATGGCAGTGGTTATGTACTGGAGTTGGAGGGGTGTAGGAAGAGCCAGGATGGGGGGGGGGAGACGCTCGAAGACACGAGTGATTAGCCCCGTAAACACAAACACAGATGCGCGCTCACACGCTGGAGCAACTCACTGGTCTGTAAAATCATTGCTGGTTTAATTGTAGGGAGGAATGGGTTTAGAGGGGAGGGGAGGGGGACATCTGTTCACTTCTATTTTCATGCGCACTCTGAGGGGGGTGAGTTTTCATTGCAAAATTAGTTCATAGGAAAAGTTTCAGGTATCGTGGATTTATAACGGTCAAAGTGAAGTATTTTCATTCCCTTTGTTGCATCTTAAGGGTTGGGAGAATCAAACCTTTTGTCTCTTATAACGGTGTGTTTTCTTCCTGTTCCACCCGCCCTGTGGAAGGCCGTCCCACCAGTTGTCAAAGAGAAAAACAACTACCAGACTTTTAGAAGACATCTGAAGGCAGCCCTGTTTAGGGAAGCTTTTAATGTTTAACAGACTATTGTATTTTAATAATTTGTTGGAAGCTGCCCAGAGTGGCTGGGGAAACCCAGCCAGATGGGCAGGGTAGAAATAATAAATTATTATTATTATTATTATTATTATTATTATTATTATTATTCCTCTTCATTTTCTCAACTTTTATATCAGAGTTCAAGGTAAATAAATATGAATTTAGCTGTCTTGGGTGAATATCTGTCCAACTGCAGAACACCTGTGAACAAACAATATGCAGTTATAATATGCAATTCATTAAAGCATGGCAACTATAGCCATCTTTTTGGAAAGTTGTTTATTTGTGTATCCTCTGTGTATTTGGATACCTCTTAAGATAGCATAGCCAAATTTTGCATGATGGTTCTTGAGATTAAAAAACAGGATTTTGTCTGCATTTGGATACGTCATTTTGAATCAAGATGGAGGACTGAACCTTTCAAAACTGCACTGTTATTTTTTTGGCTTCTTAGAATTACTCAGTAACATCAGGTGCAAGGCTTCTAGCTATTTATTAGCTGGGGGGGGGGCTAAAATCTCCACACACACACACACACACACACACACACACACAGTGGCTTATCAAAGTACGGTAATGTTCAGCAAACTATGTATTTAATAATCATAGCATGTTCTCCAACAGGATTTGTCTCCAAAGTGTCTCCATTTGTCTAAATCAGTGAATGCTGATTGATCTATATTTGCAAAAAGAAAAGGAGAATGTGTTGATGAACAAATGTTACATGAATTATGAAGATGTAAAGTAATCCTAGGTTTCATTGCCCCCCTCAACCCCCGCAAAAGTATTGTGATGTATTTTTCCAACCAGGAAAGATAATACCTACTGATTTAAATATAGGACCTTTGTGTAAAATAATGCCTTATGATAGATCAGTTTTAAGGTTGGTTCAACAAAATGTATGATAAAGTTCTGTGAAATTGGAAATGCAATGCAATTTGATCAAAAAAACAACAGCTTTGACAGCTCAATCCTACCCATAGCTGCTCAAATGTAATCCTGTGTCTACACCAGTCTACTCAGATTGAAATCCTATTGATTTTAATGGAGCTTACTGCAAGCTAAGTGGATCCAGAATTGCAGTCTCCTTTCCCATTTCTTGATTTTTTATGCTTCTACACTAGTAGTAACAAACCAATGAGCTTTACTGTGCTAGGCTGCAGTCGTTCTACTTCCCTCATTAAGCCCCTCACTCTATCAGTATCTGGCTTTTCCTTGGCTGCCTCAAAAAGGTGCTTAATGAAACCATTACATCAATTAATATTTATTTTCATAACTGTCAGTGTAGTGCATGATCTTTGATGCCTATTTTATGCCCCAAGCACATGCCCTTATTACTCCTTCCCTTACTTACCCCTCTGTAATACTTATCTACTATTTGAGGAGGAGAATACTAAAATTTGCTGGTTTAAAAGTCAGTGTTAAAACTTGGCTGATGGGCACCTTGCAGGCACATGTGAACTGTGAAATATTTTCAGTGAAATACGTGTGTGTGTGTTGAAAAAAAGAATGGGGAGGGGGAGGCAAATGCCATGGAAGGAAATAATAGACCAAAGAGGGAATGATTCCAAAAGCCCTGTTGTATTCTGTTGCATCAACAATCCTGGAAGAAAACTGCATTTTCAAGGTAGGGTCAGTACCAGGTCAAAAATGCATTTGGGAAATTGCCTTTATTGAGAGAAACCTTGGCCCTGAGAGAACTTCCATTGATTTAACTGAGATCTAGGTTTTATTGTATAGGATCTTATTTATGGATTTGCAGATTGCAAAATTGAGATCTGTCTTGACATTTGTTTACCTACCCCCCTTCAGTCAGCAAGAAAGGCACTTATAAATTGTAGACATGCAGAAATAAAAATACCCTCTGATGCTGAATACATGCATGCAGCTAAAAATATTTATACTGTAGGTTCCCCCTGATACAGTTCTCCATTATTCAAAGCAATTGCAGATTCATATCATTATATCACCATATGAGCGACATTAATTTATTGTGGGGTCTGATTTGAGCCCCTATCCAGCTCAAGGTGAGTTTGATGGACGAGGTCATACTGCATATAAAATAAATAGAACAGAGGACAAACAGCTGTCCCAATCCTGGTGAAGTTAGCCATGACATTTGGAGCAATCCTATGTAAGTTCCACTGAGCTCAATGGGCTTCCCCTCAGGTAAGTGAGCCTGGGATCATAGGCAAAGTTCAAATTAATTAGCTGGATTGGTGTGTTGTTGTTTTTAATGATGTTGCTATCTGCCTTTGTTTGCTTTTTTAAAAGAAAAGTGGGGTGCACAGTTTTTAATTAACAATAGATGACATAACAACTGAAAGCATTGGAACTTAAATTAGTTATGAGTAACATTACATTGATATAGTCACAGCTAGCACAGATAACTTTACCTGGATCAAAGTAATTGGTTTCTTTGTTTTTTATGAAATGCCTTTAAAATTAGTCATAAAACAACCCAGAAATGGTTTTTTTTTTAACTTGATCTCAATTACTCTATTGCCATAATTATAACTAAAAAATAAGAGAAATTGACAAGATGCCAAACATCTCGGGTGCACACTGACAATCTAACAATAACAATACATTTCTCAAAGTTTCATGTTCCTTTAACTCTCATGTTCCAATAACAAATAAAGGATTCCTACTCTCTCTCTGTTCCCTCTCCCCACAAAAAATAACCGATAAAGAATCCATATATTTCATTGTGGTCAATAAACATTGATCTTTTTAACCATTCCTTGTCATAAGTATAATTGCCAATCTCCCACTTTTAGCTCTACTTAACCACTCATCTCTGTGGACCAAGGCTTACCCCGGTATCTGATAACGTGAAATTAGTGGCTTGTGTTAAACGTATGTCCTCCTTTTGAAAGCTGCAAGCAGATAACCTGGGGTTTCCCCTGGTTTCTCAGTGACCCCTGAATCAGATCCATGCCTGCTTAGCTTTAAAATTGCTGCCTCACTGGGTGCATTCAGACCACTCATTTAAGATGGCACTGTGAAAATCTTATGCCCAACTGCTTTCCTCTATGTATGTATGCTGGGAAACCACTGCCAATCAAACCTTCCCAGTGCATGATTTAAAGCCCACACACTGGTGATCTTCATTTACAACCAGGGATAGACAACATCAGCTTATTTCAGTTTGGCATCAGTTTCACCCATGTCCATTCAGGAATCCATTCAGTCCATGTTTCTGGGTTTGTTTGTTTTTTAGGGTTCATGAAAAAACTCATGTTTAAATTCTCTTGATTTTTTTTGTTTTGGTACACATATCTGCCATAGAAGGTTCATCTTTGTACACATTTTTGAACCAAAACAGCACTGCAGAATTTGGTGAAATATAATCCAGTTGTTAGCTGCTCTGATCTACATATAAGTCTTAAGAATGGCCACCTAGGTTGGTTTGCTTTAGTGGGCTTGCATCTATTTTTATTCAGGGTACACCAGTTAAAATTAATGGGCCCGTTAGCCATGCCCAGTGGGTCTACTTTGAGAATGATGAACATACTGCTATCTATCTATCTATCTATCTATCTATCATCTATCTATCTATCTATTATTTTTCTTCCCTTCCCTTCCTCAGGGAAGGTTACAACAATTTACAATTACAATATTAAAACCAATCAAAACAATTTACAATCTCAGAGTTTAAATTGAAGACTGAACAAAACTGTCCTTTTGCGACACAGATCCACATTTTTACTACACCTTCTTTAGGGCTTTACTCTGTATGAAGCATCCTTAGAGTCCATTGCTATAACTGGAGAAACAAGATTCTCTATGAGATGCCCTTCCATTCTTTATGGTAAGGATACAGCTGGACTTTGAAGCCACTTACTTTATAAGTGTTTCTATAAAGATTTTTGTGATTTCTTTGGTGGGGAAGGGGGTTGGTATTATTTCACGTAAGAGTTGTGCAGAAATGTGTTGTCATTTGTGTACAGGGGGGAAGATTTTCTTGCTTTCTCAGAGACTGAATGCACACTCACAGATGGCTCTGCTCAGGTGCGATTTTAATTATGAAGTAGCACAAAGCCCAACACGGTAGGCAGTCTTCTTAATAAATGTCCTCAAGCTTTTGTCTCCACGTGTCAAAAAGCCTTTTTATTGAGTGATTAAAATATTTATTTTATTTTATTAAATTTCCTCCAACATTCCCTTCCTCCAAAAAGAGGGAGATGCTTTGAGAGGATAAAGTGGATTGCAAAGTCAACATCTATAAATGAGAATTGATGATTTACAGTTTTATGAATGGAGAGAAATATAATTTTTAGGGCCGTGAGTGTTTTATAAATCTGACCACCATATAAGAAAACTGTTTACAAATATAACAAATCCAAACAATCATGGAATTTAATAATAGAGCACACATATACAAAGTAACAAAATTGCACACTTCTTTTCCTTTTCCGTGTTTGCTTAATGTTTAATATTTGTTTAATGTTTGATTGTCATTAGCAGGTACAAAAGGAGGTACATAGAGTCACCAGTATGGGTAAAGTAAACCCACTGTGCTATATCCAAGTAAATTGTACCCATTTAAATAAAGTGACTTTAGTGATGCCCACTGATTTTTAGCAAGTCTATTCTGATACTGATTAGTTGGATACAATCCACCTCCTTTAACAGACTGCCTGTTAAGTGCTTGGAAGATGGTATTTATGATTAAATTGACAAAACATTGTCAAATTGAAGAGAAGGAATGAAGGCATGTAATTGATTGGTGATAAATGGAATGTCTTCACAATGCTTTGAAGTAATACGGCACAAGGCAGTGTTTAACCTTAAAATCTCCTCGGAGTCATATCAAAAGATTCTCAATCTAAATTATTATTTGAACGGTTACCTTTAAAAAATAGGGGGGGGACACCCCAAAATAATTAAAAATCAAAATAATTGTATTACAGGACAGTTACTATAATTGAGTAACCTTTTCTGAATTGACATTAAAAAATGTGCAGCACGATATGTATTGTATGCTGTCCTGGGAATCTCTTTGAAGGGTGGGATATAAATCCCTATACTAAAAAAATAAAAGCAGGCAGAGAAGAGGAGGTAGCAGAATTTCAAACTGTAGAAGCAAAGCAGCGTTCATTTAAAAACTGGGCCGTTTTGTAGCCGCCCGCCCCCCCGAATAAGACAACAATGATACAGCCTTATTCTTAAAAATTAGTAATATATTACAATAATGTTATACTGTCTCTGCCTTAGTGGGGAATTATGAGGGCCTCATGTTAGGACCTCAGTGTCCTGACATAGTTAATTATCCATAGATAATGGTTTTCAGCAGTAGATGCTATGAGCTCGCCAGCCTCACTATAGAGGGCTTATTAAGTGTGCGAAGACTCAGGTGCATCGCACCTATGCACTTCCCCTGCCGAAGCAAAGCAGCTGTGTTTTCTTTTCTGTATTATACATCACATGGAGCGCCTCGTTTATTATAGCGAAAGCTAATGATGCAAGTGGAAACTTCTTTATGTTGTCCCCAACCCCTGCACCGTCATGTGGCAATGCATTTGCTGCAGAGACGTTCACTTAGCTTCCATAAGTAATTTATCTCTCCCAACACCAAATGTATCTTTTATCTAAAATGCTTCGGCTCCGGGGTTCATTATTTTAATCACAGCTCATTTAAATTGTTCTTTTTCTCCTAAAGAAAAAAAATGCTTTTTATGACCGTGATAAAATAACAGTTCTGTTGAACAGACAAATCTAGGCAGTTTTCCAGCATGATTTTCTAACATTCCCAAGTCATTGTTGTGTTTAGTGCTTTTTATTCTTATGGCCATGTTTATAGCACCAGGGCCAGCCCTAGACCAAATGGCGTCCGAGGCATCGAGCGCCTTTGGCACATCCCTTCCATTTGTTCAGCGATTCAGTGCCTTATTATTGTTTTCATTACATGTATAGTCCATGCCACAATTTTGACGGGTGACCAAGGTGCAGGATTTATCCCTGTCATTGTAAGATGTTGAAGTTTGCAGTCCTGGGGGGTGATCACAATGGTGCACACACAAATGCCATTTGTTGAGTGGACACTGATTGTTCTGTTGTGAGTGCTGACCTCAGCAGAGGCGAGGTGAGAATACCCAATGTGGTTCCCTCCAGATGTTGTGGCCTACAGGTCCCAACAGCTCCAACTAGCATAAGCAATAGCCAGGGATGATCTGGAAGGAACCACATTGGCCAACCCTGCCCTAGACAGTTTTATGCAGGGCTCAGGTTCGTGACCTCATGAGGGCAGAGCTCAGACGTTGCTTCAGCAGCAGGAGCCCTTGGACTGAGCCTGAAATGGAAGAAGCCATGTCTCTGTTTCTAGCTACCTCTGCATTTGCTGGGAGGATCCTCACCATTTGAAGGGGCTCAACTTGCTCTAGCAGTCATTGACTCTGATAGAAACTGTGGTCTGAGCTGGGACCCTCTCATCTAGAAGAGAACATGGTGATATCCTAAGGCGGGAGGGGCACTGGCATCACAAGCTCTTCATGCAAAAGTAATTCTGGGGTTGGCCCTGGGGGGCAATTCCCACTCCAGCTATGAATCCCTAGACTCAACTCCTGGAGGATAGTCTGTCCCCAGGGTTTTGATGCTGACATTGTCCATTTCCCTGTGAATAAAGACAAAGAAATGATGGTTAACACTGTGCCCCACCCCACCGGCTGCCACTGATGGGTGGCCAAACACTCAATGATAATGAGTATTAATAAATAAATAAAACAAGGTAATGTGTATTTGGAACACAAAGTGTAAATTGCACAATACGTTTTGAATTTGACAGAGGAACTGTGTGTTCACTGGCAGCCCCTTGTTCCTTACAATTTATAGTTTGGCCTTGAGAGAGTGCCACGATGCCTAATTTTAAACTTTTTCCAAGTTTCCCACTGTTTCAAACCTACAACCGTTTGATTCGTTAGTAAGCTGTAACTGATCTTGATCTTTATTTTGTTTTAAAATATCCAATATAATCAAAACAAGGAGCGTTTGGCCCATGAAAGCAAATGCTTTTCGATCCTTTGTTGTCAGATCCACACAATTTTCTCTCCAGCAGGATTAGATGAAACAGAAAACCGATATACCAGGGCCCTGGAATTGCTGGGTTGTAATTTAGAAATATCCATTTTATCCCATGTAATTTCTTTGCTAAGATTCCTTAGTCTGAATCTGATACAGGTAGGAGCCAAGACAAACACTAACCATTTATAGTCATTCAGACCAGTTTGGATTTCACTATAATGCAAAGCAAAGAGATATCTTGGCTCCGTTTCAGGTGAGTAACAGGGGCAGAAAATGCATTTCAAATTTAGCATCAAATGTTGCCACATGTTTCTTTTAACAATTGCAGACGTTTCTATAATGCAAGATGTAATGTAAGCACGCTGGTATTTCCATTCCTTGAAAGCCTAGGCCCATCATTAAGGGATTCCCAGTGAGCACTTAATTTAAGCAAATAAAAGAGCTGGCTTTGAGGATGTATTGCAACCGATTAAGAAGATGAGTTATCCTTAACTCCGAGAACAGCCACAACTGTGGACAAATTTGAAGCAAGTAGCAGGGAGCTTAGGCAGACTGTTAGGGTGAGACATCTTGGCCCTTGATAATGACACATAATTCCACCAAATGAAAACCAGAGATGTATCTCCGTGAGCGTATCACAATGCGAACTATGGAGGTAAAAGTTGTGTTGAAAATGATAAGAGGCTTGGATACCAAGTCCTGTGAGGAGAGGCAATGGAAATTACTTCTTCACACAGCACGTAATTCAACTATGGCGTTTGGTCCCAAAATATGTGGCAATGTCCACCAACTTAGATGGCTTCCAAAGAGGATTAGGCATATTCATGGAGAATAAGGCTGTCAATGGCCTCTAGCCACAATGGCTACGTTCTTCCTCCACTGTCAGGCAATAGAAGAAGAAGAAGAGTTTGGATTTGATGTCCCGCTTTATCACTACCCAAAGGAGTCTCAGAGTGGCTAACATTCTCCTTTCCCTCCCCCCCTCTGTGAGGTGAGTGGGGCTGAGAGACTTCAGAGAAGTGTGACTAGCCCAAGGTCACCCAGCAGTTGCATGTGGAGGAGCGGAGAGGCGAACCCGGTTCACCAGATTACGAGTCTACCGCTTCTAACCACTACACCACACTGGATCTCAATAAGCTTCTGAGTCCCAGTTGCTGGGAATTGCAAGTGGGGAAAGTGCTGTAGTGCTCAGGTTCTGCTTGCAAGGCTTCCCATGAGCATCTGGTTCACCACGATGAGAACAGGGTGCTGAAGTCAATGGGTCCAGCAGGGCTCTTCTTATGTTGAAATAGGTTGAAGGAGTTGAGTGAGTTTAACCTGAAGATTAAGAACCAATGTGGTAGCCACATTCAAATATCTGAGGGGCTGTCACATAGATAATAGAGCAAGATCCCTTATCCCATATGTACCCAGTAGATCCCTGTGGACCAGTTCTCCTGCAGGTTCCAAAGACCTCAGAAGCCACAGTAACTCGTAGCAGGGCTTTTAGTGTGACTGTCCCTGTTCTGTGGACCAGCAATTCCTGTCAAGATATGACAGGTCCCCACAATCTGCACTTTCTGGAAACATTTGAAGACATTTTTATTTCAATAGGTTTTCCGAGCTGGATGAATGGGTCTATAACATGGTGTCTCTTTTGAATGGTTTTAGTTTTCTTTTAAACGTATCTGTTCTTTTTTGTGTTTTTAACTGCTCTTTTGCTGTTTTTGTTGTACACCACCTTGAGATGATTGTCTAGAAGGCCATATAACAGCACCAATACCTTAACCTGTGGGTTCAAATGGCAAGAAAGGGGATTTTAACTAAACATTAGGGAGAACCCTTTGATGGTGGAACAGGCCGCCTCAGAAAGAGGTGGACTCTCCTTTGTCAGAGGTTATATATTTATGTATTTCATAAAATTTATACTCTATTTGGTTGTAAAAAAAACCCTCTCAAAGCGGTTTACAGAGAGAATAAAACAATAAAATTGTTTAAAGCTCTTTAAAACCTTTGAGGGATTGTTGTAGTAGCAGGTTCCCACATTGCCCTGGGGTTGGCCCCCTTTCATCTGTTTGATTGAATGCCCTAAGCATAAATCTCCCTAAAATATTAGATGGTATGTTATAGTTAAAGATGTTCATTAACTGAGGTGATACAGCCAGCTTGTGGGGCTCTACCACTGCAGTTTTCACATTGGGAGTAGTTTCTTGTAAGTGAGGTTCTTCAGGCTCATGTACGTAAATCCACGTGATTTCTCTTCCTTCCAGGGCTGCTCCCAAACGACTGTGAGGCTGAATAATTCCTCTGCCCACACATTTCAGCCCTACATAATGTTAAGGAACGCTTGAGCCCCATAGCTCCCAAGCAGACAGTGCTCTTTAAAGTCATTCATCTCGGTATTAAAACAGTTACCGGGGTGTTAAGCTTGAATACAAGCCCCTGTGCTTCTATCAAGAGGAAGTCAGCTTCAGTGTCTCCTTGTATGCTTCTATACCTCTCAGAAGTTCTTCGCATCCCACTCGGGGCCAACTGGGGGTGGAGGGTTGGATGGATAACCTTAAGCTGACCTTTGCCCATCTGGGGCCATGTCCTAGCAAGCGATGTCTTGCATCCATCGGCTTCAGCTGGGCTGCCGATTCTGACAGACGTGTAAACAGATGCAAGCGTTGTTGCTAATGACAGGTGATTATAAGTGGCGTGGGTGCCAAAGTAATTAAACCGCTCTTTGACAGGAACATTTGGCGGTGTGGTATTTCAGCATTAGAAAAATTGTTACAACACATTTCCCCCCCTGCTAGGCTGTAAGGCCTGAATACCATTAATTACGATCCTTGGGCTGTGGTGGTAGTGCTTGTTGAGATTTCTCTAGCTTTGATCGGGAGACACTTTGTGGAAGCAGAGCTAAGGGTGGAAATATTGGTAGATGCAGATTATTTTTGTCCATCAAACTGCAGTTTTTCCTACTCTAAGGAAGAGGAGCCTTTTCCAGTCAAAGGGCCACATTTCTTCATGTGGAAACCTTTCAGGGGCCATTGGTTGGTAGGGCCAGAGGCAAAATAGACAGACAAGGGGTGTCACTCTTGCCTATGCACAGTGTGCTACATTTCAGCCATGCAAAAGCCAGTCTGCCATCTTGATTCAAAATCGTGTCTGGTATCAAAACGTCAACGAAGAGTTCCCACCTCTACATAAAAAAAACCCCTTCATGCTGAGTTTGTGGCAATATCCTAAGAGGCCAGAAAATGGGTGATGTTAATAGTGATGCGCTTTGTCTCATATCTTGTTTAGCCATGTATTTATCCCACTAGAATTTTGTTTGAAAGGTATATGAGGGTTTAAACTCTTTGTAACAAAGCTTTCCATTATTTTAAATGGTTGCATGTCTTTCATTTGGTTAGATGCCCCAAATCATCCATTAAAAAACTAGGATGAAAGTCCTAGAGAATAGGTTCTTTTATGTTAGATATGTAAAACTAGAGTGGTTTGTCTGCTGGTGCCTTTAGAGCTTTCCCATTTTTGTTTTTGTATTTTTTTTTTAAAAAAAAACCTCTGCCGTTTATGAGGTTCTAAATACTTTGGCGGCTAATCAGCGCACTAGCAAGTTAAAAAGAGAGAAGTTAAACATCGCCAATCTTGAAAAGAGCTTCCATTGTCTTCTACCTCTGGTGCCAGGGGAATCTTTTGAGTCGTGCTGCAGTGCTCCTCTCAGTGTAACATGTCATGAAACATTTCTCAGTAATGACCGACACTGAATATGAGTTGACAGGACCTCTGACTGGGCAGAATGGGTTCAATTACCAGAGATGTGGGGTTACCTGAGATATATTTTTTTAAGGACCAATTGCACTTGATTCCGACCTCTTAACTCACAGGATTTGTGGCAGTGACAACAAATAGGCTGATTAAGTGCTGCTTCCAACCCTTCACTTTTTTTCCTAGCATGGTAAATAATTTTAGCTTCTTCCACATCTATGTTTCCCCCCCCTTTAAACCCAAGTGTAATATATTTATTAAATGAAGTGTAATAATACAAATGCAGTGAATGGTGTCTGGTGCCCATTGGGATGGATAGAGCAGAAAGCAGGGAGACCAAACAGTATGTGGAGCCAGACCCAATGATAGGCAGAACCAGCTAGGCCACATCCACACCATGCCTTTAAAGCACTATGATATCACTTTAGACAGTCTTGGCTTCCCCCTAAGAACCCTGGGAACTGTAGGTTCTTAAGGGTATTGAGAATTGTTAGCAGACCCCTATTCCCCTCCCAGAGCCACAGTTCCCAGAGTTCCCTGTCAAAACCACTCTGGGAATTGTAGCTCTGGGAAAGGAACAGTTCTAGCCTGTGCCCATCTGCCCTGCTGATTTCTACAAGGGCAACACTGACTCTTAAGGGGAGGAGGAGGCAGTGCCAACCCCTGAACTGGTCATAAATAGGAAGGCAGGCAGGTGGGGGCTGACTGAGGTTGGTGGGGGCCCTAATGGACCAACCTCTGCTGAGCGCTGGTCCCTACTGCCCTCGTCAATTTCATCTCTTCCCAGCATGAAGCCTGGCTCGAGAGCTGTCATTCTATCTCGGAAAAATATCTGGGACATAGTGTCCCGAAATCAATATAAGACAAGTGATTGGTCTCTTAACCTCACCTTTCTTCTTCTTGTAGCGGTTACATTGCTCCCGTTCACCTGTAGCCAACCTGACGCCAGAGTAAATGAAAGGACCTGCCATCAAAAGTATCTTCTCTCTCCCTTTCCCCGCTTTTCTTACTTGGGACTGAGCAGAGTTTTACACTTGTTCCTAGTCTGCTGCCTTCAGCTCCCAGATAGAATTATAGCAAAACTGCCTAATTAAACTGTCGCTGTCTGCCTGCACTCGAGTGCCTTTACAAAGTCATTTAACTGACTGACATTCCAAACTATTAAAGCCGGTTGCGGCGTGTCTCCATTGCTGTGGATAAAAATGAATGAAAATTTGTTAATGTGCGCTGACATTTGATCCTGGATGTTGAACTAACGCTGCACCACCTGAACTCATCTCTTCCCTCCCTCCCACCTACCCACCACCTTCATTCTAATCGCTTCCTATGTTTGTTATTTCCTATAATAAATTGGAGGAAATTGCAACAGGTATTAACATTCTTCAGTTTGATTTATGAGTGCCTGTTGAACACAGCAGCCATCTCACGCTTCTTTTGAGATTGTACTTCTGTGCATGATTAGACCCGTGATGGAATATTTCTCTCCCTCCCACTCCAAATATACAGTAAGAGCATGATACATTTCCTTCATGGAGGATGAATAGAGTTACTACTACTATGACTTCTGAACCAGGGAGAGAGATCTTGTGGCCCTTCAGATGTTGTTGAACTCTGTGGAGGCTGGTGTGACACTGCCCCACCAACTCTGTCTGTCCTCAGCCAGTCCCTATCTACCTACCTTCTTACTTACAACCAGCCTCCTTCTTTTTAGTCCTCTTAGTGTTGCCCTTCTAGAATTCAACAGGGAGGAAGATGGGGACAAAACCAGAATTAGGTTTCTCTGCCTATCATTGGTTCTACCTCCACTAGCCACTTGTGCTGGCAAATCCTACTTTTCTCCCCCCTGATATCTGCTCTACTAGTCACAGTGGCAACTCCCATCACAAGAAGCTTTGGTTCACTTTCTTGATAAACTGACATTCACTTTAATGGAATTATGCTCTCTGGTCACATCTCTACTTTTTTTTAAAAAAATGAAAATGTAAGCTAAGATCCAGAGGGCTAAGGTTCAAGTCAGGAAGTCAAAACACACCAAGAGCTAGGAAGGCCAGATTTGCCCAAGCAAACTACCACCCTCAGTAGCAGAGACTACACCATGGCCAGCGTGGGTGGGCAGAGTCACTCCAGTACCTAGAAACCCTTCATTGCAGGAATGGAGAACTTGTGGCCCTCGGGGTGTTGTTGGACTGCAGCTCCCATCATCCTTGACTATTGTATGTGCTGGCCGGGGCTGATGGGAGTTGGAGTCCAACAACATTTATAGGTCCACTGGTTCCGCATCCTTATTTTTCTGCTTAGGACAGCAGCATATTTTAATCTACAGTCCTGGGTGACTCCCCGGATGGTGCTTCCAACAGCATTGAGCTCCTTTGGTTAACTAGGCTGTGTGTGGAATAAACACCTTTTTCTCTTTTTTCTTGGACCATCTCCCTGTCCATTGCAGCCAATGACAAGTAAGTAATTGGGAAAGCCCGCATCTGTTTTGCAAGCAGAAGGTCCCAGGTTCAGTCCTGCAACATCTCTAGATAGGGTTGGGGTGGGTGTCCACCCGAAACCCTGGAAAGCCACTGCCAGTGCAGGCAGTACTACGAAAGCTGGACCAATGGTCTGCTTCCCGTGTCCCTATGTTCTGGTATTTTAAAAATTAAAATTCCCCAGCCAAAGTGCTATTTATCAGACCCAAACCATTTGCGTGGTGTCACATTTGTCTGTGTCCAATAGCCATGTCTCAGAGCAAATGCTGTTTGTGTCTTGCATAACAGGAGCTCCGAGATTCTAGAAGACAATGAAAGCACCTGAAGGCCCTCTCATTGCAGAGACTGGTGTCCTTCTGCCACACTACTCACATTTTTCCTCCTTCCAATTCCTCACTTCCTCGCTAGGCACGTAAAAGCCGAGCAGCAACTCCACTAGGGGTGCCACATCTGATGTCCAGCCCAGGAGGAAACATTTCCTTGCCAACGCAATGCGGGAACAATATCCTGCCAAAATCCACAGGGGAAATAGTTCACTTTCCTGTGTGTTGGCTCCAACAATAACACATCCGAACTAAATACAGAATTAGCTTCCTGTATTTGATTCCGCCATCCCCAAGTCCAAGAAACCTGGAGTTCTCCAGAGTAGGCAAACAGTAGAACAACTGACATTTTAAAATCCCCTCCTGCAGAAAAGATATGTACTCATTCCTGAGCAGATAAACTGGTCCCACCTTATGCTATTGTCTTTTCATCTTTTGAGGAGCCTCATGAAACTCCGGCTGGAGCTTGAGTCCCAACTTCCATTAACAGCACAAATTTTCAGTGTGCTATTTATATATTGGGTTGATTAACTTATGAATAGCCTTTCACATGCATCTCAATGTGATTTACTAAAGTACTATAAACAGGTAGAAGTTAGTTTTTAAAATGGTACAAAAACATAAAGATAAGAGATAAAACTGGAAGAAGAAGAAGAAGAAGAAGAAGAAGAAGAAGAAGAAGAAGAAGAAGAAGAAGAAGCAGCAGCAGCAGCAGCAGCAGCAGCAGCAGCAGCAATGGCTTCTGGGAATTCTGGGAGCTGTAGATTCATAGAATTCTAGAGTTGGAAGGGACCATGAGGGTCATCTAGTCCAACCCCCTGCAATGCAGGAATCTTTTGCCCAATGTGGGGCTCGAACCCATGACCCTGAGATTAAGACTCTCATGCTCAACCAACTGAGCCATCCCAGCTGTAATTTGTAAAGGGTGCTGAGAGTTGTTAGGAGACCACTCTTCCCCTTACAGAGCTACAATTCTGAGAGTTCCCCTTGAAGAAGAATTATTTGTTAAACCATTCAGAAATTTCATGTGTCCAAAGTAGTGCTTGTTCCATTTGTGCAAGAATTTCTGCTTGCACAATGGATCCCCCCCTCTCAATAAATCTGTTCTGGGGTTTCCTTCAACCACCTGGAGCAGATCTGAGGAGGACATGAAGTGCACATGGAGAGAGATTATTTCTATCTATTTACACAATTTATAGACCGCTTAACTACAGTAGTCTCTAACCAGTTTACAAAGGTGCAATACAAGAAATTAAACATCTCTGTAGTGCTACCGGCTCTGTGAATTTAGTAACAAGTAACCCTCTTTGACGTTCAGAGCTATATTTTTATTTGTTTAAAGACACTTTGTTTCACAGATCCACAAGTAGTGCAACATTTAAAAGATATCAATGGACTGTATCAAACAAAGAAGAAGAAGAAGAAGAAGAGTTTGGATTTGATATCCCGCCTTTCACTCCCCTTCAGGAGTCTCAAAGCGGCTAACAATCTCCTTTTCCCTTCCTCCCCCACAACAAACACTCTGTGAGGTGAGTGGGGCTGAGAGACTTCAAAGAAGTGTGACTGGCCAAAGGTCACCCAGCAGCTGCATGTGGAGGAGCGGAGACGCGAACCCGGTTCCCCAGATTACGAGACTACCGCTCTTAACCACTACACCACACTGGCTCTCAAAGTTCTACATGGAGTAGAATTAATAGGTTATTAATGTCCATTAACTTCAATGAGTCTACTCTGAGTAGGAGGAGCATTGGCTACTACCCAATGCCTTTCATGTAACACTTTCATAATAAGGCTAGTATTGGGGAGGAAGTGTGTTGTCCTGCCTTTTAAATACATTTAGGAGCAAAGCCATTGTTGAGGTTGAATAGTTGTCAAGAAAGCTTCCGAATATTAAACCCTGGCCTGAAAGCAGTTTTTTGAAAGAATAAAGTGTTGCTCTAATCCTTTCATTATATTATTCTTTTTAAGGTCTCCCTCTCCTTTAAAAGAGAAGGGAAAGCTTTAAACCTTGAAGTGCCTGCATGAAGGAAGCTTCTTTTGCAAACCAGCCAGGGAAACATATGATACCATTTGCCATTGCAGAATGTGGCCTGCTGTTCTCCTGTAATTATAATGGCCTAAGCAGTGTGGGGTTGGTTAGCCTTCCTTAACAATCATTAATCTACCGAGTCTTCGTAACAGCGGCCCATCTTGAAGAACAGCAGTCCTTGGCACAAGAGGCCTCTGTAGCGAGCGAGGGATTGCCTTCTTGACTTGCATTCTGCCACTTGCCACTCCTGGAGGATTCTGGGAAAAAGCTTCTCTTCCCCCCAAAAAAACAACAACAACCCCCTTCTTCTTTCCTCTCACATCCTCTTGATAGCTGCCTGCCCTCTCCCTCTCCCTCTCTCTCCCTCCCTCTCTGGTGTGTCCCCTTCTTCCTCCTCATTGTTGAAAGTTTTATTTCTGTGTGACTGGGAGCCTGTTTAGCAGACCATATTGCCAGCGAAGGTACGTCGTTTGTTGCGCGGTTCTGGCAAGGCTGGGCAGTCAGCTGGGATGTAATTAAGACTCAGAGAACAGGCTGTCTTCGCCACAGGAAGGGCATGTTAGATGTTGCAGGGATTTGGGGCTGTCAGTTTGGCCGGAGCTGAAGACAGAGAGCTAGGGACAAGCGCTCTCTTCCCTTTCATTTATAATCCCTTTATGTACAGTATATGCACTTGGCAAAGTTTACATCTAACCTATTGGCTCTCGCCGGCGGGCCAAAGAGGCCAGATTAGCATATGTTACATGTATATTTTAGTAATATTTTAAAAGCGAGCACACATTTCCAAAGTGAATTATGCATGTATGACAGAAGCAGGGTTGTGTTGCACTGGGTGTCAAATCCCACATCTTTTTGTCAAGACTATGGGTTTTACATTAAGAAGGCAGAGAGACTAAACGAAGTAAAACAGTTTTAATTTTTAACAGTTTTGGTCCAGCCCAAGGACTAACTTTCTGACAGTTTTAACTGACATTTGAATAATTGGATTAATTTAGAAAAGGGTGCAAATCATATCTTGATGGGTGCGCATGCGCCGCCGTACTTTATAATCTGTGTATATAAAATTAGCGATGGGGGTGGACAATTTAATAATTTAGGGTTAGCACAGCATTCAAAACAAAATGCCATGGATGGAGCACTGTAAACCACATTAGAGATGGCTGAAGGACTTGAGTATAGGAAGTTCCTTTACACAGAATCAGACCATTGGTCCACCTGACTCAGTCCCCTTTGACTGACAGCAGCTCTCTAGGATTTCACACTGGGTTCTCTCTCAGCCCTACCTGGAGATGCTGGGGATTGTACCTGGACCCTCCAGCATGCACACCAGATTCTCTGCCCCTGAGCAAAGACTGTTTGAGAGCCACTGTGGTGTCTGAGCCTATGGAGCCTGGATCTGTATCTCCCGGCTCAGCCATGGGCCCATTAGGTAGCTTCTTGAGTACAGAAGATCCATTCAACGTCCTCTAACCTTAACCCCATGAAGTTGAGAGCATGAATCTGAATGATGTGTGTTGCAAAACACATTGCACATTTATTTTCTCAAACCTTCATCTATTTTTTTAAATTAAAAAAAAACACACTTTAGAAAGAGTGTTTCTGTAGCTCTGCTTTGCAGGCATAAGGTCCAAGATTCAATGCACAGCATCTTCAAGAAAGACAAGGAACGTTCCTTGCCTGAAACCCTGAAGAGCTGCTGTCGGTCAGTGTTGACAGTACTAAGGTAGATGGACCAATAGTCTGACTTGGTGTAAGGCAGCTTTCTGTGTTTTCTTGTGTGCATTTGGGGTTTCTCCATCTAATGTTTATGAATTATGAATGTTTATGAACCTTGCATTATGATTCCAGTTAGCACAAGAAAACCAATCTTGAGAGTCGTGCGTATTAAATGCACACATGGCTTTAACATGTTCAAGGATTACCAAGTACAAAATTGGAATGTAAAATGAGGTAAATAATGGATGGTCATGTATGAATAACAGAAAACAAGGGAACCATGGGGGGGGGGGGAGTCAGGGGACTCTTGTAGTCCCAGGTTATGGAGTAAATGTGGATTATATATATAATTATTTAAGGCTTTGATGGTATGGTTTTTCTTTTTAATGCGATTCTTTGTTATTGTAAAAATTAATAAAAACTATTGTTTTTAAAAAGGATTACCCATTTGACTGGATGCTGTGGATCTGCACACAAACCCACTCCGTTCACTTTTGTAGACAAATCCTTAATGGGCAGGTGCCTGCATGCATCTGAGCATCCACCAATGTGGACCTTCATCAGTGCCCTCCCCAACTTTCTGCATTGTCAGCCCCTTCCTCCACTGACAGATATCATCCTGGTATGCCAAAAGTTTCAGGCTTTAATGAAATAGCACTCATTGGCCACTTCCTGAAGAGCAGAAAAACATTGCTGAAATGGACTGTGATCCGTTCTGTTCAAGCTTTCTTGTATCTAGACGTACAATCCTTTGGGAATTCTCAAAGCCTTTTAAAACTATGGGCTTTTTCTTCTTCTTAGGGCAGTCAAAGCAAGTCCCAGGAGTGATGTTGCCATCTGTCCTTTTTATATTAAAAGACTCTTCTATGTTATATACCTGATGTTCTTTTTCCCCAGGATAAATTTGGCTAATTAAAATAAAGCCTTTGTCCTTTGTCTTGGACTAAAGGTTCTTTCAGTCTCAACAATATATCTTTTTGGATCTAGATCGATCCCCTGCACTATATATTCAGAGAGACAGGGACTTGCGCAATTTTAGGGATAAATTATTCTGGTTCTTTGAATGGATTTGCCAGACACAGGAAACTTTGTACATTGTGGCTTCATGTGTAACAACCGCCACCACCACAGAAACTCTTCAGTTTAAGATTAAATGCTCTTACAAATTTCATTCTTGCTCCAAAATTCATGGAAAATTGAAGTTGCTCTTACAAAATTCATGGAAAATTAAGATGAGAATCTTAGTACTTCCAGACAGTGTAAGTATTAAATACTTTGTGCAGTCCTGCATTTCCGGATCCATGCACTGAGTCTTTGCTAGCAGAGTAGGGATCCTGAGAGTAGAGCTCAGGCAGGCTCATGCAAGTGCAGTGCAAGTGGCCCTTTAGGTGCTCTCAAACCATTTAGGCATTTGAAGGCCAATATCAGCACTGTAAATCGGAGCAGGAGACAAATAGGCAGTCTGTCAGTGGGGTAGAATGAGTGCAATATGCTCTGATGGCTTAGCTCCTATGAATCTCCTTGCTCCTGCACTCTGTACCAGCTAAAGTTTCCAAACAGTTAAAAAGAAAAGAAAAGAAAAGGCAGCTCCACATTACAGTAATGTAGTCAGGATGTAACCAGAACAAGCATCACTGAGGTAGTTGTGGCCACCAATGCTATCTGCAGCTCTGCATATTGCACACATACCAAATTGTATACTTGTCTCTTCTGGGGGGGTGTAGCCCCCTCCAGAAACCAGTTGTCTCCCTCCATCCAAATCAGTGGAATTCTCCTTCAGGATTATGTTTCAGCTTATTTAGCCTCCTGCACCCCAAAATTCCTCCATATGCATGCTCAGAACCTCCACTATCCCTAGGGGAGATGGTTTTTGGTGCTTATAATCCTGATGCCTGTTA